GTCTTCCCCAACTCTTGAATACGCCAATGATAAGTAACACCGATTAAGGGGATATCTTCGGAGCCAAAAATAGTTTCCCCATAGGGTCCTCTGAAATACGAAACAAGAGACACAATACGAGGAACGTACTTCTGAATCATTGCATTTATGATCATAAAATATAAATCAAATTGAAGTTTGCCAGAGCTCTGTGAATATGGGTATGGGTATGGGTATGGCTATGGAAAGCTAACCAAAAACCTGATTGCTCCATTAATTGATGTAAAAATAAGTTCGATAGAACTAAACTAAATTTATAACACTTTACAATGTAAATAAAATACATTTAGGCACTATGGTACAAAATCAATGTAAATACTAAAAAGTGTGTCATATTGCTTCTTGATTAAAATTCAAGAATCAGTATCAATAAATGATCAATTTATTATATAATGGATTTTTTTTCTGCTAAGAGCCGACAAACGACGGCGTACGTATGGGACACTAGCACGTATTCCTGGATTGGTCGATTGTTAAGTTTGATTGCCATACGATAAGGCCTACTAGCCAAGGATCGATCTTAATTGTCCCTGTTAAAAGGGTGAACCCTGATTCAACAGGCAAAATAATAGTAGAGCCAACGCGCCATGTCCTGAAGAACTCTTTCACATCCACACCACACACCCACTGGCTCTCTTTTTATTTTTTCCTCCATTTTAATAATGTAACTTACTCTTGTTTTGCATTAAAGGAGAATAATAATAATTATAATAATAATAATAATAATAAGTAAATATTTAAATTACTTTCATAACAATATTTCTTTAAAGAATATGTACATACTTCTCTAAGTGATCTAATATCAAAGTTGAAGGGACTTGAGTGACGGTGTGCCTGAATGTTACGACAAAACAAATCGATGTTACAACAGATCAGCGCACTCATCCAAACTGTCAAATAACAAAGTCAATAAGAAACAAAACACTAGCGCCGTCTACGACCAGAAAATACGATTTCATATTAATTATTCATCATTAGTGATCAAAGATAATTATTCAAAGTAATGGAATCGATGTCGGGTGCGGGTGAGTTATTAATTATATGTAATTGTTGCACGGTTCATATTGTAACATGTTTAGCTGACAAATCTATAATTTCATTGTAAGCGAATCATTACACAATATTAATCGGATGTGGTCAGAGCACGAGCCGTCGATCACACTGTGAATTTTGTACGGTGACCTCCTTTAGTTAAAAAATAAATGTGCACTGTGTGTGAACGAAAGCTCGTCACCAAAATAAGTATAAATTGCTCTACCCCGACTTTGATTGATTGATTTATTCATTTTTTATTCATTCATGACTGATTGATTGTTCAAGCCAGGCTTCGGAGGAAAGACAAGATGTTTTGTACAATTAATTTCCTAAGACACTACTGAAACTTCCCCTCGAAGTTCCCCTCGAGTCAGAAATCTATATCTTACTAAACGTTCCCAAGTCAAACACCCCTTTTATTCAGTGTCTAGGAAAATTCATTAGCAATCAAAATATTGTTATTTGCCCCCGCTGGCGCCACCACTGTGTAATATAATGCTGTTTCTGTTTCTGTTATAATCTAGCTGCTGTAGCTTATCTTTAATTCGTACCATTATAGTTACGGTTTACTGTAACAGTAAGACAATGAAACATTTTTAAATACAAGAATCAAAAACACAAGATAAAAAAATAGCAGAGAAATGTAACGTCATCCTTCGGAATGACAAGTTCCCCACGTTCCAATTGATATTATTTTATATTATAGTTTAGTAGTTTAGCAGATCAAGAAAAACTACGTGCAACACACACACCCACCCACGCACACAAAACTGTCTTGCGCCCACTACGGCCATAAAATCTTTGGTGACCATAGAGATATAATAAGAATACTAGAGCGCTAACAGCAATGTATTCGATGTTCGAAATACGCAGAGCTGTGTGTGTGTACCATCCAAGATGGCTGCCATAGATTCAGCCAATCAATTTCCTCTGAGCGCTATCATCTTCAATTGCGCCCTCAATTTACACAGAAAGTTCAGTACAGCTAGTTACCCGTATTTTGAAACTCGAGCGTTGCGGTGTATGGGTGTAATGTACACGATTTTAATTGATGTGTATAAGAGACAGATGCTGCTCATGTCTTTCAAAAATTAAACATTGTGTTTAACACTAGTTGTCATTATCAATACTAATTATCATTAATGAAATAATATTCAGTCAGAGGGCTTATTTATGGTAATAATATGTATACTAAGCCTGAAGGTGGCGCTTTCCTACGCAGCCATCTTGGATGGTACACATCATAGAGATATAATAAGAATTGTTTAATAGCTCTATGGTACACATACACAACTCTGCATTGCTCCGCCATCTTGTCAGCACTCTAGTTGTTTAATAGCTCTATGTTGGTGACGGATTAGCTTTACTCTTGAGGGCGTTTATTACTTTCCAATTATTTTTTATAAACAGTTAATTAGCAAAGAGTCGAAATCTGCAATATCAGATAGCTAAAAAGATTATAAAAGCATCAAGATCGGTAAGTATTTCTGGACATATTGGTAGAAGGTTCATGTAAATTTAAACACCATTTGCTTTTATATAATATTTATGATGTACAGTATACCAAAATAAAGAAATTTCAATTGATTGCCACTGTAAAATAGGCCTATATTTAACAAAAGCAATGGCTCAAAGGACTCCACTAATGAAAAACATTACCACCCATATTTAACTATTATATATTTATAAACTAGTCTTGTTTTTATTATTTTTATTATTATTATCATTATTATTATTTTTGTGTATTTATTTATTTATTTATTTATTTATTAACATATTTTGAATTTTTTCTCACTCAACTTTTATCCATTAATACTGTAAGAAGAATTGTTCTATTGTTTTAAATGGTTAGCTAAAGTTTTTTCTTAATCACTCTAATGAGAGTGTAGTATTTCTTTTGCTTATACAGTACAATACATACTTTTTAAACTAAGTAAAAAATGAAGGTTTTGTTGTTTATTACCTTTAGTTATATTTTTTAATAATTAATTTTATATATTTTGATTGTAATATTGTTATTGTTGTACGGGTCGAACCTCTCCTGCGCGAGATTGTTCCTCTGTTATTAAAGATAGAATCAATAAATCTTATCTTACAACACCTCCCTGGAGTAGTGACGAATAATTTTGTTTTCATGGCATGACAAGGATTAACTTGTTTCATAGATGAAATGACAATGAACTCATTCAACAGAATGATTTCAATAAATTATAAATACCTTCCTGTTAACTACAGATTTTGAAGTTGTTGGGTGGTCGGCTCAGGTCTCAGTTACTAACACATCGACATCCTCTTCTTTACCTCATTTGTGCATGAACCTATTTGTTTTAGTGTACGTACGTGAAGAAACAATGTTGTGACTCTAACGTGGCAGGGGTATTCCCCCGCCCCTCCCGTGGGACAGGCCTGGACCACCCGTCATCCGACGCCACGACGAGGTCTCCAGGACCAAAAATAATAATTTGCACTATAATTTGGTTGCCAATCCCTAATATTAGGGAGTTTCGCAAGCTACGAAAACGATAACGAATATACGGTTACGTCATCACATTTTTAAACAACCCTCACCCCAGTCACAACTTAGGCGATTTATGCCTTTTGCATGAATCAAGGATCATATTTAGCTCATTCAGCATGTTGTCAAGGATGTTTTAGGCACGAATGACGATATGATAATTACGTATTCGTTATATATTTCGTAAGGCGAAATCTCCCTATTGTGGTCTAAAACACATTTTGGGCCATAAAAACACTCTCCATAAACACTACCATGAATTGTTAGTGACCCTAATCGAACCATTGGTTCGAAACCCGCGGTCGAACATGTCGGACCAATTGTCGGCAAATTTCTGAAGCCACCACTGAATCCCCGCCCTGTCAAACGAAGGTTTACTTTTGTTTATTGTTTTTTCTAATTTTGTTTTATGAAATCATCTTTTCATAATTATTTTTACTCTTCTACGGTGGCGTATCTAGAAGTGTTAAAAGAAGGTGAAATGGGGGTGCTCGATGATCAGTTGAGGGGTGCAAATTCGAAAAATAAGGTGATTTTAGGTGACTTAACTACTTG